CATACTCTTTTGTGATCATATTCCTGGGTCCTTAAGCAGAACGATTCATCCCAAAAGTGGGGCTTGCTGAGATGCTGTTTTATAAAGCAAAAGGGTGGGATCTCTTGTCAGCCCTCGTCAGTCATGGTGGACAGTCTGGACCAGGTAACGGAAGCACCAACTTTGACCAGTCTGGGCATCTCCAGACTAACCTCAAAACCACCATAGAGAAAGGTGCCAGATACTGCTTTCTGCAATAGATGGCTTCTCTTGACCTTTTAAGGAGAAACAGAATGATTTATATATGCAGATTCTCTAAACCTTTCCTAACTGGAATTGTCAAGTTGCACCCCAGAGGGAATGCAGGCAGCACTGTAAGAGGAAAAAGGGAAAAGCCATGTCTGCTGGCTAAACTCCATCCTCCCCTTTTCCCAAGCCCAGCACTGAATGATGCCACTGCCCAAGGCCCCGTCTCCCTGGAAGGTCTTCCTGGTACCTCAAGAGTCTTCCCACCCACCAAGAGGCAGTCACTTGACATGAGCTGCAAACTAGCGAGACTGAATTTCTAGGTTACGTGCTGTTTGATCTTTGCATGGAATCGTATGTTCCAAATTTTCCGGTAGAGCTCTCCTGTCACGTATGCAGTCCTGTTGGTCCCATAAGCACACAGGTGTTTGTCAGCTCTTACCCTGATTTAGGGCTAGAAAAACAGGCCCATCACATGCGTGGGCCAGTAGTGATCTTGTGTTCACGAAACATTTGACAGCAGTTGCTTCACCAGGCTTATCTAGGGCCCGTTTTCTTTCACCGACATGAGCAGCCAGCCCTGAAGAAGGCCCGACACTCGCTTATCAGCTGCGAGCATGGCCTATCTGAGAACACTTGGGCGGAGAAATGTCGTGTGTTTTCCAAATTAGAACTTGAGTTGGAGGAGCTGTTTCTGGGGCAGCTGTGAGCCAATCCCAAGAAGCTGTTAAACATCCAGGCCCCGAGAGCCAAACTCTACACGGCAGGGTGGAGAGGAGGAAGTCTGGCTGCACGCCTTCACAAGCCAGCCTGGCTCGGCCACCCCAGGCGGGCCGCGAGGAAAGCAGATGGAAGCAAGAGCCTTTCCTGGACCAGCCTTGGAAACATCTGGGCTCTCCTGGAAGCAGGGACTCCACTAGACTCTCCCGCCTTCCCAGCAGATGTTGCAAGCACGTGTCACTGCTTTATAGACTCAGGTCGTGGAGGCTGAGAGCCACTGTTTAAGTGTGTGGGGGGCATGTGCACAGTAGTGAAGCCACACACTAGGAGCCAGACCACCTGGCACTGAGCCCTGTGCCACCACTTCCCAGCTGTGTGACCCTGGGCAGATCACTCCACTGCTCTGGACCCACTCTTCTCATCTGAAACATAGGTTACAAACAGTGCCTACTTCCTAGGGCTGTTGCCGGGAGGAGCTGGAATGATCCAGTAGAGTGCTGAGGGCTGCTCTTGCCCATGGCAAGTCTTCAGGACATGCTCATCAAGTTGGAGGGCCTTTGGTGTTCCCGGGCAGTCCTTCACCCACTGGCAGAATCCGCAGCCAGGCACTTCCTCAAGTCACTGCTTGGATACCTCTGTGGATGGGGAATCCACTATCTCTTAGAGCACCCTACTCCACCTTCAGATCAGCCTGTTTCCTGGACAGATAAGTGTTTATCTGTGTTGAACCTAAGTCTTTCCCGGACACTTCACAGCTGGTCGCAGTTCCATCTCTGTGGTCAGACAGAACTCGTCTAATCCCTCTTCCTCAAATAGCAGTTGAGGTCCTCTGAAAATCACTGACACTACCCTCCTGCCTGGGCCTTTTCACCGTTCCTGACAAAACACCTTCAATTTCTTCTAATGATGATTGAATGATGTCATTTGCAATTCCTTCATTCTTGTGGTTTCTGTCTTCTGAAGGCACCCTGTGCTTACGAATGTGACTTGGCTCCATGCGCACGGAGTCCCTCCCACGTGCCTGAGACACAAAGATGAGAAGACATGTTGAGACTCAAGGAGCTCTCAGCGAGGCAGGGAATGGCATTCCAGGCAGGGGGAACCACATGCGCTGGGATTGGAGGCACGAAGCCTGGGAACTGCAGGGTGTATTGCTCAAGCCTAACGTATAAACTGGGAGTCATTTGAGATCAAACTGGGGAAGAAGGCAGGTGAGTTTACCTGCAGGTGACAGGGAGTCACTGGGTGACTTTCAGCTACAAAGGGACATGTTCCAGTGTGTACTTCAGGAAGAACATTTTAAGTGTCGCTCGAAGACTGGGCAACACTGAAAGCCGGGAGACCAGTTGACCAAATGACGAGCACGAAGGGGACAGAGGTGGAAAACGCGTCGTGGACGGGAAGGGCTGACAGTGGCTCGTCTCCTGGGGCCAGGACAATGAGTGACTGCTTTTTTCTTCTTGCTTCCCGGTGTTCTGTAATTTCTCTATAACAAGTATTTTCTGTTTTCTCTATAATTAGCATATATGATTTATACAGTAAGAAAAATGTATTCATGTCTAAAGACACTTTGAAACCAACCCGGCAGGACTTGGTTACTGAGTGGAAGGAGGAGCCTAGGAGATCAGTTTTCTGGCCTGGGCGCTCAGGTGAGTGGCACCCCCAGACTGGATGGGGGTGTGAGGAACAGGGCATTTGGCAGGAATTCTTATGGCATCGCTGACAGCTGAACCGATGCCCACAAGCTGCTTTCACTCCGCTTGGCCTCTCTCCAGCCTGTTCAGTGGCCTCTGTCCCCTGCAGGCCCTGACACTCACCTGTCCCTTAGACACCTTATCTGGAAAGCAGATGTCTGTGCAGCAATACTCAGCAGCACTGCAGGACAGCAATAGCATTTATTTGGATGATAAGTTTTGTCAGTCCTTCAGTAAATATTTACTGAGTTCCCACATATGCTCAGCACCAAGCCAGGCCTTAGTGACAAAACAGGGAGACGAACAGGCACAGTCCCTCCTCACAAAACTCAGCCTAGTGTGAGAGACAGATATAAATGTTTTAAAATCCCGTGAAGGAACATAACATTTCAAACTGAGGTGCACTCTCCAGAGGAAAGGAAATCGTTCCAAGAAGACTTAAAGGACACATCTCTGGTCTGGGAGTTGGGTGATGAACCCAAACAGATGCTTGGGCTGAGAGTGAAGGATAAGTAGGAGAGAAGTGGGGAAAAGCATTCCAGGTTGAGGGAACAGCATGTGTGGTGGCCCTGTGGTGGGAGGAACAGTAGCATATTCCACTTTCTAAAAGAAGAGCTGTTTTACTGGAGTGGGTTGGGGAGAGGCAGTCGGTGGAGAGGTGGGTGGAGGAGACCCGACAGGGTCCTGGAGGGCCCAGGAAGGATCTTGTCTTCATCCTAAGAGCAGAGGAAGGCATTCAAAGTTCCAGCAGGTCTGAGGCAGCCTGCTGAGCAGCCCTCTAGCTGCGGCCTGGAGGGGAGCCTCCCAGTGGGTGTCCTTTTATGTCCCACACCCACTGTTCTCTTGCCATTGGAGGCTGTAGCACTGAGGCCCACTGAGACAACCCCTTATGCCTGGGTAGCCCAGATTTGGGGTTCCCCCCACCTCGAGTAGCACTGGGTACATGTCCCCCACCCGCACCCCCAGCAGATGCCCTGAAAGCTGCTTTTGCGGTTCAATTTTCAACTTTCTTCGAGGCTCTGCACACTCTAACACTAATGTGTGTACAACTTGCTAATTAATGGAATCATTTCAATCTGAAAACGTCTTGTTCTAATGGGAGGCTGCAAGCACTCTCATTAATTCACAGGTAAAATCATTCCAGCTTTTCTTTTCTTTCTTTCGTTTTTTTTTTTAATCTTCCCAGCTTGGCTTAATAGCTGGGGAGAATCGTTCTAATCAGCCTTGTGAGAATCACACCACCGGAATGAAAAGCACCAACAACAGCCTTGGGGTTTGGGAAGGGGGTGACTGGCCTTAGTTTACCCAGGGGCAAGCACGGTGGATAAACGTGAGGGTGAAATGCCCCACACACAGAAGGTAAAGACACAAAAAGTGACCTGTGTAGTGTGACCTGGACAGGGTGTCCTGTCCTGTGTGTATCAGAGGTGGCACTCAGGGTGACTTTCTGTACCACTGGCTCTGCTGGAGGGAAGCAGGAGCTGCCTCCACGTTCTCACCTGGAAGGTGAAGACTCACTGCACTCGCCTGGGCAGGGATCTCACACGTGACTTTCTCACGGCTGGGTGTCATCTGGGGGTGACTTGCTGGTAACCAACCTTCCTGCCGTTTGCGAATGATTTGCAGTGTCGCTTTAAGTAAGTGGCATCCCCAGTGTGTTATTTCTGATGTAGCCGAGCTTAGTAAGGGGGGCCTTCTCCCCACAGACCACGGTGCAAGCCCCAGACCTCACCAACAACACCCACGTCCCCAGGCGGGCTTTTCCTTGACTCTTTTTACCAGAAGGATCTGGGTGCTTTCTAGAGTTTCTTTTCTTGTGGTAATAAGAACATAACAAAATTGATCATTTTAATGATTTTCAAGTGTCCAGCTCCGTGGCAGTAAATATCTTCACACGTTGTACAACCATCAGCACCACCCAGCTCTGGAACTTTTCCCAGTCCCACCGTGGGGATAACCTGAGGACAAGTGAGTCCCTGCAGGGCTATCTTGAGTCCACATGAGCTCTCACTGTCCTGAGATGCTGCTCTGGGAGAAAAAGGCGCTCGGTTGCCTGTAAGATGGGGTATTACACAATCTGATAGTTATGGATGGAAACAACATGTTCTTCCCCTCAGAAGTACAGCAGCTGCCAGTCCTTTGCTTTGGATGAGTCTCCAAGACAGATCTGGAGTGAGGCCAACCTGGATTTAGACCCCTGCACCATCAATCCTTGGTGTGTGGCTCTGAGCCTCAGTCTTCTCATCTGAACACCAGGACTGGCAGTTCCTTCCTTGCAGAGTTGCCGGAAGACGGCATGAGATGGCGTCAGCATGGTATCCGCAGTGACGCTTGGTTCAGTGAGTGGCTCTGTCCCCGCAGGTCTCCAGGTGGTCCTGAATTCCATCATCAAGGCCATGGTCCCCCTGCTGCACATCGCCCTGCTCGTGCTGTTTGTCATCATCATCTACGCCATCATCGGCCTGGAGCTCTTCATGGGGAAGATGCACAAGACCTGCTACAACCAGGAGGGCATAGCAGGTAAGAGGGGCAGGCAGCCGTGCTCCCAAGGCCCTGCCCTCTGTCACTCCCGGCACCTTTCCTTTCCCGCTGCTGGCTACACCAGCATGACCAGCAGAGCCCGAGGAAGGTCCCATTCACTCAGACGCCCACTGGGCATGTTTAAGTGAGAGGCAGAGAGACCCATATCCTTTTTTTCTCAGTTCCAATTTTTGTTTTGATCTGTTAAACCGGCCTAACACAAACTTCGTTCAGCACTTTTCAATAAGCTACACAATTTGAGAAATATTTGAATAACTTAGATCCTATCTTTCGTCAAGCCAACCCTGAGTGTTTTAAGAATCAGAGCTGACCTGGGAACATCAGTCTCTGCTCCTTCCACGTTTCAGTGTGGCTGGCCATCGGGTGCCCTTTCAGGGGGGCCGCTCAGCCCTGAGCAATAGGCTCTCCCAGCACCGCTCTAAGATCTTTCTACGTTCATGGTGCTGATTCCAGATCCTCTGTAATTATTGTTTCTGCTTCTCCATTCACAGGCAGATGCCCCCGAGCCCCTATTTCCAGGTGGGGGAGGAGGACAGGTGGGAATCACCCCCTTGCCAGGAGCCAAACTTCCTCCCTTCAAGGAGAAGGCTTAGTTCTACCCCATGACTCCCAGTCCCTTCCTTTTTGAGCCTTCTTGCTTCACGTTCCTTCCATAAATCAATATATTTAACAGCAATGCTGGTTCATTAGGCACTTCCCTGCGTGGCACTGGAGTTCTGGCTTGCAGGATATGCTGCAAGCTGCTGCTAAAGCTACTAACATCGCAGCTTGGCCTTTTAAAGAAACATTTAAACAGAAATTGACAAGGCTTTTAAACAGACAGATAAAGCAGCTTAACACAAAGAACTTGTTGAAAAAATATCCCCCGCCCCAAAGGGGCTAGCCGTGTTAAATGTATGTGATTTTTTTTCACACAGCAAGATCCATCATCTTAGTTTTTGGCATCTTGGTGGAGAAAGGGGAGCATCATCTGCCAGGAACAGTGAAGGGTACCTAATTTTCTCCATCGACACTGCCCCTCATTCCCACTCAGTCCCAGCATTCAGTTAAATGGGACCTCTCGCTTGGCTGGGGTGAGGAGGGATAGCTTCCAAACAACAGGGGGTGAAATTTGTAGAGAAATCAAAATAGAATACTTTCTATGTATAATCTAGTATGACTGGATGGATTAACTGCATATTTGAGGGGGTTTCTAGTTTATTTCCACATAGCCACCGTCCTAAAAACAAAACAAGAAAGCACACACGCAGAACGTATACTCCTGTAGACCCAGAATCACACCAATGTTTTCACTTTTTGGATGGAAGTCTGTTTAACAGGAGACTGTTTTTTCACTCTAGAGAGAATTTCCAAATTACTTGGGTCATAATCATATAAAATAAACTATCCTGTTTTCAAAAATAGAATCCTTGTTAAATTGGAAAAAGCAGATCTTGCCTGTAGCTAAAATTCTGAGATTTTCAGCCTTGCTTAAAGAGATGCCAAACCAGAGATGAATAATATTTTCCCCTTTAATTAAAATCCTTCCTTTTATTCAGGTTGATTTGTAGCTAGCTCAGGACCAATAAATTTATTGACTTGTGTGGCCCTGTGAGAGCTCGTTTTAAGACTCCTTAAGAACTGACTGTGGTATGTCTAAAGTTGATGCAGTTGTATTGAAATTATCAATGACCATTTGACCCGAACTCCTCAGGAAGTCATAGACATGTGGAGTCTCAAAGATTCCCCGTCAGTTCAGCAGTGATGATGGTGGGGCTCTCACCAACAAAATGGGGAAGAGCGAAATGGTGGAATTCAGCCGTCGAGCCGAAGATGGCGGCCCTGTTGTGCAATCAGATGTCTGTGCACCACAGAGCTAAGGAGAGGGGCTCCAGCACTGCAGGCGGTTTCCATCATCCTAAGGAGAAAGCAGCCCAAGTGTGTTTTCTGCCGGTGGTGGGCTCTTGCAAGGGCCTGTGGGAATAAGTGGCCCTGAATTCTGGTTGGAAGTCCAGGGCTTTGTTACCAGGCCTCAGTGACCCTGGAGAGTCAGAAAATGGTGGGCATGGCAGACAAAGAAAGCATGGCACAGGGAGGGAGCCGTCCTCAAGGTCAGAGCCCCAGGGCCCAGTGAAGAGGTCGCCCCAAGTACTGAACCTGTCATGGACTCCTCTTCTCTTAGGACAAAGATAAGACTTGGCCTCCCCAATTGGAATGACCAATTTAGGGTCACGTTGTCCATCCTTGATAGTAAACAGGACCAGGAAAAAGTGCCTGAGAAGTTGCCTCCTACCAAGAGACTCATCAGATGGTTGATGTGATGGGTTTATCTGTGCCTGCAAGTTCAGAAGAGAAGTAGGCTCCCATCACGGAAATGGCCGTGAGCCAAGGGGGCCAGAACAACAACAGAAGTGCTCCAGAGAGAAGGGCCCTGCCAGGCTCCATGAGAAGGTGGCCTCACTCATTCATCTAAACCAGAGTCCCTGCTGGGAAGAGGGGCCTAGGACACAGCTGCAGAAGCCTGTCCTCTCAAATACTCTGCAATCAAGAGCTTGCTGTCCCTTCGTTCCCAAACCTGCCATCTGATCACAAGCTAGGACCCACTCTGTCACTCTTAGCACAACATGATGCTGCTGCCATCAAGCCCTTGTCCACCCACATAGTCGGCAGTGCAGACAAGGAAGGAAAATGTGCAAGAACCCAGACATATCTGTGCAGCCATGGAGGAGAAGACCAAATACTTGTAGGCTTTGAAACCAACCCCTAAGTGTTTTGGAGAGTTTTATATAAACTTTGGAATGGGTGGTTTAAATTTTTTCTTTCTTTCTTTCTTTTTTTTTTTAATTTCAGACTTTGGATTGAATTACCCTATTTTCTGCAAGTTTAGATTACACAAAAGTGCTTTGTGAGCCCTCGTTGTAATTTTTGATGAGATTTACATCAAATTATTTTTATAGTCCAATATTATTTCACAGATTGTGAATTTTATATATCTCTAGATTTCAAAATACATTGGATTTTGATCCATGTTTCCAACAAAATCCACAAAGAAAGTTATGGAATTGTTCAGGTGAACCATATTCTGCCTCTAGACTGCCCTTCCAGGCAACAGCCCCTGGTGAAGATGGTCTCAGAAGAGGCAGCGTTTCCCTAATCCCGGGGACATCTGCATGGCGTCTTCTCAGCTCCTCAACAGACACTTCACCATATGCCGATACCTTTTGTTTCTGGTTGTCCCATCTGTTTGATGGTGTGCTGAGCCAGGTCACTCTGAATAGCTTCCCAAGCACAGTAATTACCCCTGAGACTGGCACAGAATTGGTTGGCTAAAACCTAGAAATGAAATCATCTTCCTTCTATTCACTCCTTAAAGTTGAGTTTTTAAAAAGTAATTGATTTCTGTCTTTAGTGATTTCTCCTTGGAATCACTAACTGGAGCTCTCCCAGGATTTCGTGTTTTTGTTGGTATCAACTGCGTTTCTAAAATCTCTCCTAATCTTCACCTCCATTATTTTACCGAAAACTTAATTTGGACTTTCCAGAATGACTCTACCTCTCTTCATGTCTGTCTTAAAATACAGAACTTGCATTGCTTTGTTTCCTTCTCCCACCTCATGTTCCCACTTTCCTCCCCAGGACTTCATGACTCTGCAAAAGAAAACCAACACATTTTTATGTTTTAAGCAAATTTCTCCTCACCCTAGAGTGTGTGTTGCTAGGACCTGCTGATTTTTGTGTGTTCACATTTTTTCAAGTGTTCGCTTTAGTGCTTTTTATAGATACCTATTTTTACCAGATCATCACTGCTTCTTAATTGTTCTCAAATCTTTTTCATTATTGTTCAAATCAGATTTTAAATAGCGAAATGGCACTAGAGCCTTTAGATAATATTTCTGAATCTCATCCCTTTCTCTCTTATTAGTGAGACCACTTTCCCTTGATGCCATTTTCTTTTTCACAGATATTCGTAAAATCCCCAGAGATGTTTTCCTTCCTCGAGGACACTCAGAACTCCCTTTGGCAGCCTTCTCCTTTGCCCTCTTTGTGACGTCTCGGGAATTGAGAGTGCAGGGAATGCTGTCGGGTGAGCGGTCCCAATGTAAAGATAAACTGCATCTTTATTCTGTTAAAAAGCAAAACATGAGAAAAAGATGCAAGAGCTTCTCCTTCACTTTTTCACCCTCTCTCTTTGTCCCGTCTGTCCTATCATTCCAGCACTTTTATCACAGTGACTGAACACATCTCTCTAGAAAGCTATGACTAGAATGGGTGAGAACCCAACAGAATTAATGATCTGCTTGGCTCTTGGTTTTCCGGTCTGTCAACTCTCAAATTTTTAGGTGCTCATTATCCACTTTTTCATGTATTATTTAGGCTTAGGATTTACATTTTAGTTTCCCCCTTTTTTGGAGCGTCACATCCAAATCTCTAAAGATTTCACATTTTTAAAAGTCATAAAAAGTTGTAGTTAGAGTACTGCTTATTTCAGCTGCGTTAATGGAGCCCTCCTGGGAGCTAGACCCTGAAATAAGGAAATGGTGTGGATACTGTCTCTCTAACAGTTCAGGGACCAGCAGTGCAGACCTTTGCACCTTGATCAACAAACATAGGACTTACACACAACTTTAAGCACTGGCCCAAGAATAAGCCAGGAAGCAGCATTATTCATAATAGCCCAAACCTGGACACAATCCAGACGTCCATCAGCTGGTGAACGGATAAACATACAATGAAATACACTGCTCAGCAATAAAGAGGAACAGAGCCTACTGATATATGCAACAGCACGGATGAAGCTCAAAACATTATGCTAAGTGAAAGAAGATGGACATAAAAAGCCTCATAGTGTGTGATTCCATTTATATGAAATTTCTAGAGGAGGCAAAGCCATGGAGGCAGAAAGCAGATCAGGTTGCCAGGGACTGGGGGTGGGAGCAAGGATTGACTGCAAACCGGCGAGGGGAGTTTCGTGGAGTAATGGCCGTGCTTTAAAACGGATTGTGGTTATGGCTGCATGACTATGTAAAAATTTACTAAAAATAATTAAGCTGTACATTTACACTGATAAATTCTGAGGCATGTAAATTGTAAGTCAATAAAGCTGATGGGGTCAGTGGGAGAGAAAGAGAGGAGAGGAGAAGAAGGAGGAGGAAGAGAAGGAGAAGGAGGAAAACGAGCAGGAGGAGGAAATGAAATTGACAGAGAACAAGAAGGAGGAGGCCACAAAGATGACCACGCAGGTGCTGATGACAATGAAGAGGAGGAGGAGGAGGAGGAGGAGCTGCCACTGCTGCTGGGAAGACACAATCGGGCATATATTTTCAAGTAGACTATATTCTCCTAAGAATTATCTCTTACTTAAGGATTAATATTTCTCTTCTGGTCTTCCTCTTGGGAGTGAACAGTTTCAAATTTAAAGCCTCCAACTGAGAATCAGCCCACCGGCCAGTCATCTTCAATGCAGAGCCTAATGTAGGCAAAGTAATCACAGTTATGATTGTTTTGATACATGAAACCAGAAAACAATCCTGGGTGACCTGTTGTCTCGAAGAACTATAAGCAAATTCTCTCTCTCTCTCTCTCTCTCTCTCTGGAAGCGTATTTTCATTGTTATAGGCAATCGTTTATTTGTTGGAACTGGGGTCTCTTCTGTCTGTTATTGTCATTACTTTGTCTAAGGACAGGACAATGTCCTTGATTTCACGAACTTTTGTGAATTCCACACCATTACCTTCCATAGCCAGCGCCAAGACTTTCTCAGTGTTTTCCCATAATCGAAATTCTTAGATCAGTCAGGTCTTATTTAAATTTACCAACAATCTCCACACTCAAAATATAAGTCACATCTTCATTCATTAATTTGCTGGGAGCTATTTCCCGCACGTGGCATTAGTCCAACTGCTGCCTTTAGCCACAGACACTGTATTCTGCTATTTCCTGACCAAGCCGCGTCCATACTGAGGAAGCACGCTCCCTGTTATTCACTGCCGCTCTGTCTTGATTAGAGGTCAGAAAATGATTCCTCTCTTCTGAAAGGTATTCATGCTGCAGAGCAAAGGGCAGAGCTGCGAAGTCCCACATGACATGCATGAAATACAGTCAGTAATGTGTACTCGCAGGCTGCAATGAAAACGGCTGCAGGCGAAACCTCTCCGCAGTAGTCAGAGTCCGTTTTCCATCTTTCACCTATATAAGGCTTCACTGTAAAGTGACTTGCATCCCTGGCAATGTTTTATCCTCTAATACGTGATGGACCCAGGTAGTTAGAAAGCATTATTGGATGGGATCGGTTGGCTAACTATGTGAAGGAGTGTTTGCATCAGTGTTGTCCTTCCCCTAAATTCTGGTATTCCAATACAAGTGTCTGTAGAACTCTACCACCAAAAAGAGAAAATATGGACTTCCTAATCGCTTTCTGGGTCAGTTTCCACTTGCAGTGGTGGCATCATCATTATTTTTTGATTGGCCATTTGATTATGATGCTGACATGTTACAACAGAATGGGCAATAGAAATCAGTTACTGAGATTAAAATACAGCTTTTACAACAGTGAGTGAAAAGGACTGACCTTCTAAATTAACGGCAGCCTAAACGGAATGCCTACTTTCTTATGTTGCTTGATTCACATCTAGGGGACATGATTTAAGCGTGTCTTGCACTGTTGTTGCCATGGTTGCTTTGCCCATCCCATCAACCTCATCCTGTCACTTTTCTCTCTGACTTTTTTCTCTGCCCACATCTCTGCCCCGCTGCTGCTCCCGTCTCCTGCCTTCTTCTGGCCATTTGAGATGTTCCAGCAGAAGATGACCCTTCCCCTTGTGCGCTGGAAACAGGCCATGGGCGGCAGTGCCAGAACGGCACGGTGTGCAAGCCTGGCTGGGATGGTCCCAAGCACGGCATCACCAACTTTGACAACTTTGCCTTCGCCATGCTCACGGTGTTCCAGTGCATCACCATGGAGGGCTGGACGGACGTGCTGTACTGGGTATGTAGCAGGAGTGGGCAGTCAGAGGGTGGGGGCACAGAGGCTGTGAGCCCTTCCCTGACACCTCCCTTTCTCCTCCTCCCCATGCTCTTGGGGTCACAAACACATCTCGATAGAATGGTTGATGAAGAGCATCTTTAATTTCTTCCAGGTCTTGCCTGAGAAACAAGGCATGAGCTTTTCACCCTCACGAGTCCTCTCCCCAACCCGCTGGCCTTAGGGAAAGGTCGTTTTTTCAGTGTGTCCCACCACAGTGCAAAACCCTGGTGTGCAGGCATGGATGAGCTGGCCAAGCTGGCACAAGGGTTCCGTTCAACTCCTTCTCCCATGCGGAGTTCCTTCTGCCCTCATCCTTTTCTTGCCTCTTTCCTCAGAAGGGAGCTAGAAGGCAGAATTATGAATTCTTTGGGCTGAAGAGAAAAAGTCAGTCCTGATCTTCTAAAAAGACATTATATAAAGAAACCATTTTTATTGAACTGTGAAGCATTGTGACATGCTATTCAATTTTTACTCTTTATTTTAATCTTACCTTAACATATTAGAATAGTCCATCAGACAGATGCATTGGCAGCATTTTTACCATTCCCAAAACATGCTGCTGGTCGTGTGATGCCTATTGAGAAACACACTTTTTAAAAAATGTTTATTTTACTTTCAGTTCTGGGATACATGTGCAGAACGTGCAGGTTTGCTACGTAGGTATACATGCAACATGGTGGTTTGTTGTACCCATCCACCCATCGTCTATTAAACCCTACATGCGTTAGGTAGAGAAATAGCATTCTTGAGAGCCACCCAGTCAATAGTAAATCTTCATGTACCTTCAAGTTGCCCCTTTTATCATCCAGCAGCCAACACTACTTTGCTGTGCTTCCAGCCTCTGAAGTGCCAGATTTTTGTACAGCCTACCCCACAGGCAAACCCACACTCCGTCTTTGAGCTGTCTCGATTCTGGCAAAGTCCGTTATTAGGAAAAACTCCAGAAAATATATTCTTCATCGTGTCTCCAACTTCAGCATGAGAAATGACTTGCCAGAATCCAGCGCTGTCCTCCAGAATTTGGGTGAATAAAAAGCATACTGCCAGTCTTACAAATACCATCTCCTTCAGAGTTTTGCAAATAGGCAAATGTATTTGGCCATCGTGAAAACAATCTAAGAGCCTACTCAGGGAACATGTCTACAAACTGAAGCAGGGAAGAGTGAGAGGGGAGCAAATGCTTCCCGTTGAGCAGAGCTGCCAGATCAAAAGGAAATCATGCCAAGAGGGGCATCGACTTCTTCCTGAATCGGAAGGAAGAGTTTTGTAACTGTACAGAGATGTGGTGCACAGTATTCTGTCATATGACTTCTTTAAAAGCGCCATGTCCTATTGATTCGAAATCCCTCTTTCTCAGTTTTTATGTGATAGTCAACATGCCAACACCCAGTGTTGCTATGACATGCGTCCCTCTCTCTGTAAGTGATGACTTGAAACTTGCCCAAGGACCTGGTACCCAGCAAACATTTCCTGAGTGTCCTTGCATGCCAGGGGTGCTCCTAGGCTCTGAGGATTCAGTCGTGAATAAGATCCAGTCCAGTTCAATTAGCTCAGTCTAGGAAGCCAACTAAATTCTAAACCGAATAATGGCAATATGGCTGCACCCGTGCCGCGGCAAAGCTGGTGCATTGTGATGCTTTCAAAAAGGAGACAAAGGTCAGATCCCCTCTGCCTCAAGCTAAAGTGGAACATTGGAAAACATATTTGAGATTCATGCTCAATAAGAACTTGGTTTTGAATAATTTGTAAGACAGAGAGAAGGAGTTGAACTTATTACACTTAGGCAAATTTATTTTGTTTAGCAAAGCAGACCAAATTCCCAAGTGGCCCTAACTGGTCCTTCTTCCTCGGGTGGGTCCCTCTGACCAGCCAAGGACAGAAACATCCTTATCCTTCTGCCAATAGGCAGTTTCTGCCTACAGCCCATAGAATAAATGATTGTGTGGGACTGTGCTTTGGGACCTCATCCCATAAACTTCAGACCCATGCCTTCCATGGCATCAAACTGAAGGCAGGTGGCAGTGGAGGGTGGGTGGAGGGTAGGAATAGATATGATTGCCTTTGCTGATGTATTTTTGTGTTCTTCCTTCACCACTCCCTTCTTCTCCCTCACCACAAGTCATTGATGCCCCACCAGCCAGATGTGACCCAAAGAAATACTGTCATAATGACAGCCGGAGCGGGGAAGCAGAAGCAGCAACAACTGCAACCACCAATTTTCGGCAGCTGTGTTGTGCCTTCTCCCCTGGGGTGCGTGTGATAGAGCTCAGGCTGGGAATGGAAAAAGTGTCAGAGGTGAAGAAACAATCCCAGGCTCATGGGACATGCCTCTCTCTGATTTTCCCAGCACCTTCCCAAAATGGCCAGGTTGTGTGTGTGTGTGTATTTGTATGTGTGTGTGTATCTGCATGTGTGTATACACACATGTGCACATACACACACCTAAAACTGAAACTTGGGTATTCATGGTAGAAGCCCTGCCTAGCCCAGTGCTCCTGCTTTCAGTTTCTCTAATTGCTTTGACCTTTCTATGGCTGTTTCTTCCTTCTTCCTCCCTCTCCCTCTTCCTTTCTTTCCGGTGTCCCTCCTCCTTAGCCTCTAGGTCAGTATCTCCAAAGCACAGACTCTCAAATCTCAAAATATTTTAGCATCAAACATAGAGCTTTGTCAATATAAAAATACCCAAACCTCCCTCAGAGCCATTGAATTAGAAGCTCTAATGTCGGGGCCCCAATCTCTGCATTTTGAAAGAGCTCTCCAGGTGATTCTGATTTCCAGGCTGGAGTTTGAAAACGCTGCAAATCTAACCTATTGAACCTCATGGTGCTGGTATGATGCTGCTGACTTTGAACCCTTCTAGGGGGATAGTTTCCACAGGGAGGAGAGGGAAGTAAGGTCTTTCACTCAGAAGAATGAATTGTCCTTCAAGCACAAAGGGCAAGTCTAAAGGACTTGAGAAGGAGCAGCCAAGATTTTCAAGTGTAGTAATGCATGGAAACCCCAGAGCTCCATTCACTCTAAATCACCAAACAGCTGGAAAAGAGTAAGTCACTAAAGCATCAAAGAAGCGACTGGTCAGCCGCTGGATATGGCCTGAGATAGAAGGGACCAGGGAAGGCACCTAGCAGATGGCAGCTCTTGCTTCCTGTTGTGGATGATACCGTCTCTTTCTCTTTTCCTCTAACATCCGTTATTGCGTTCCATTGTTACGATTTTAAAGAGTGGACTAAAAATACAATCAGACTTGGTCAAGTAATACTTGAACATTGCTTCAGCTATGAAAGCCTTTGGCCATGCATTGCGCTGAGGGTCCAACAAGCCAAGCAATTTGCTGAAAACATTTCTTTTCTACCTACTATTCTGTTTGAGGAGTGTGCAGATGACAGAGTAAAGAAGGGTGGACACCGGGGATTTGGAAACTAAACAAAACTTGGGTTTGGGGTGTAGTTTCCTTAGGAAATTATTTCTTCGGTCAAAGACTCATCCTTTACTCACAGAATGTCCAAGCTTCTTAAAAACAGATGGGCAGGTGTGGGGAGTGTAATCAGATAAAAAGCACTGGCCTTCCTCAGAAGCAGTGAAGCACCAAGGAGGGAAGAACCTAATTGTATAACGTTACCATTGGTTTCCATTCTTAGTTTCACATGTTTTGTTTTTTTCAAAAATCTAAACATCCCTAGCCTTTTGCACATCATTCAAGGCTGCTTGTCTCCCATGGTCTACACATGTGCCATCTCAAGGATTCAAGAGGCTGCTGGGTCAACCTCCTTTGCAGGTCCTTGTCTATTCTCGTAGGCATACTCTGAGAATTCCGGTTGGTCTGAAACTCTGAGCATGACCTCTTACACATTGTGGGCAATCACAATCAGGTGACAGAAACATCCATCAATTAAACATCTTTTCAGTGCTGACTTTGTGTTCAGCACTTAAAATGAGCCCCCTGCTCATGGGAAACAGAATGACATGGTGGATGATCTGGGGTTTGGGACACACGCAGAAGGTTGCAGGTGAGAACTGTAGGAGGGGGGCAGCAGCTAGACTGGACGTCACACCAGTGGACGTGTTTCTAGCTTTTTAGGAATCTCGATGCATGAATAATTCATCAGGAGCATTCTGTTGACTTCTGTCCACGCCATGCCTTTCTGGGATCCCCAAGAACGTGGCACACTGTGAACCACAGTAAAGAGCCTCTGACCCACGTCATCCTGGGTTCATGCCCCTCCCCATCCTGTTGGGGCCACCTCTTCCTGACGCCACCAATTGCCCCCTGCATTAGTTTCTCCGTGATCAGTTCTTCAACTGATGTTTTTCCACAAGTTAAACTTAAAAATAAGGGTGTAAAAAAATACTTAATGAGAAATCATATAAAAGAAAGATTTTTTTTTTTTTTTTAGAGTCACAAATAGTGTGTTCTCTAGTACCTGGGATTTGTTTTGGTTCAGCCAACAGGAGATCCTTGGAACAAAAATCTAATCAGTTAACTTTTCATAAGTCACTTGTCAACTCCACCCTTCATCTTGCCATCCCACTACGTGCCTGGATGTGCGGAGAACGTATTTCTACTAAATTCTCTCACACACACACACACACACACACACACACACACGACAGCTGTTAGTCTCTGGTCTTGGTGCTGCCGAAATATCCCTTGTTTATGACAAACACCTTTCGCATCCAAGCAGGTTGAATTTGGGTGTTTTACCCTATTTTTGTCTACTCCATCTTCACAAAGCCACCTCTTTCACTACAGAATATAGAGTTGCTGAAGATTCCATAAAAGGTAGAGCTGAATTCTATGATGACCTAAGAGTCATTCTAAGTGAGGAGCTGAGAAACCCTCAAGTAACCCAGAAACAGTGTCCAGGGCTCTTTCTCAGGTATCGGAGTAGAGACCGTGTTAGGGCCTCTGTGGCCCCTGACTTTTCACCTGCCTCTGGGCTACCCCCAGAGTGCACCTGTTG